TTTATATAAAAGTCTTTATGTCTGATCATTAAAAATCTTTATTCATAGCTTTAACTTTTACAATTTTAAAGACTTTTTCATATATTACGGTCAAAAAGTCAGAGTGTTAGTTAACATTTTATTGTGTAAAAATCAACATGTCAAAGCTTACACCACAGGCTTGGTCAGGAAGCAGGAGCGATCATTCTCGAATTCTGACCACAGAAAATAAATTTAATGGTGAAAAACTGGCCAGGTTTTTTAGTTGTTTTAAGAACATTTAAGTTTATGAACGTAACAAAAATTTCTCGTTGGATTTCTAAGTTGGTGTCACTAACTTTGAAATCCATTTGAAATCAAATGTTGAAAAAAAAAAATAGTATTTGTATTATATCAGTTTTCATATCAGTTTATAGTTTTAACAGTTGATGGTGATTCATTATTATTCATTATATAAACGTTTATTTAAATTTATCTAATAGACAAAGGTAATACAATATTTTTATAGACGGTATTATTTTTAAAAATAGTGTTATTAAAATTTAGAACTAAAATATGTAAAAAAAAATTTTTTACAAACATTAGACGAGGTCCGTACTGTACCTTGAAAATCTGGAAAATTTGTTGATATTGGCTAAAATCGTGAAAAACCTGGAAAAGTCAGGAAATTTTTTTTTATTTAAATAGTCATGGAAAGATCAGTAATTCTAATTAAGAAGTTACTCGTTTCACAAATGAACGCTGTATTTTGAAAACGTGATGAGTCACACTTTTTTTAAAAGTGAGATTATTTGAAAAAAATATTTTCAAAAAAATATTCTTTTTAAATAACCTCACTTAAAATAGAAGATAAAATAAAGATTTTTTTAGATAAAATAAAGATCTTTTAGAGAAAAGAAGCAATTTTTAGATAAAATAAAAATAAAATTTTTTACAGGAGAAATGTTTTTCACTCCGTTGTAATATTTTAATTTTTTGACTTGTCACATTTTCAAAATACAACGCTCAATTAAGTTTTTATGTTTTTTCGGTGCTACTCATTTGTTTTATCTGAAACTTATGCTTTTTTTAGTGTTCATTCTTAGTCGTCATTGAAGTACAACTTGGTAAACTACAAAACACATCAAATTCAGTTATAAAAATTTGAGTAACAAAGGTATGCTAATTATTGTATTGCCTGAAAGAGTGTCATTGCAGTGAAGAAATCAAGTACTCTGGAAGAAAAGAAAATACGTAAGTAAATGGTAAATATTTTTTTATAATTTTTTTATGCATTTTGTATGATATCTTAGTACAATTTATATACTTTAAATAAAATACTCATTGAAGACTTTTTGTAAATTACATTAATATTAATTTAAGTTTAAACAAAAGTTACTTTAATTATTGCCAGGATGTGTATTTTTGCAGATCTATATTTTGGCAAAAATTGGAGTTATAGACAAAAGAGATTGTATATATTTTTTGCTAAGCATAATTTTTTAAAATGGCCTAGTTGTAAAATTAAACTATGCAGGGAGAGGACAAAAAATTGGAATAGAAAAAATGTTGATTGCATATGCTGCTATTGGTAAGTGGTTTAGAAAAGTTTATTTTTTCAGTTTCAATTTTGCATTACAGATTTACATTCAATTTGTTATTTTTTTTTTGGTGCATAATTAAACAAACAACTATTTTATTTTGCAGAAACTGTGAAGTCAAATAAACATGGCTTATGCAGACATAGAATAGAGATAGAGGAAAAAAAAATAATAATCATGGGCACCAAATATCATAAGCTAAAAACGATTCAATAACAAGTTGCTCAGCCAATATCGAAACTACTCTATAAATTTTATAGTGAATTTTTTTATTTAAAACTCAGTGTGTCAGTTTTTGGTTTAAGTTTGGTGTTTGCAATATGTATATTTAACCAAGAAATTATGTTAAATAAATAAATTTTTATACTTGTATCATACATTCTTTTTTTTCTCAATAAATTTTCAATGAAGCAATGCAAATCATCTTATTTGTAACAAACGTCTAATGTTGTATAAAACGTAAGGCCGATATATAACATATGATATTGGGCCAATGTTGCATAAAACGTTAGGCCAATTTTGTACACAACGTTGGGTCAATGTTGTATACAACGTTGGGCCAATGTTGTATACAACGTTGGCCTAAAGTTATATACAACGTTGGGCCAATGCTGGGTAAACGGTTTTATGAATTATGAAATTTGGAGGTGTGCATTTAATTTCTGGGACTGAAACAAAACAATTCTTATTAATGTTTGAGTTACACATTGCAATGTAAAACAAAATAACTCATATTAAAACAATGTTTCTCTAACAGGGTTCGTAGCCAACCATTTATATAAAATTAAATAACTTTTTTGAAAAATCAGATGAATTTCCCTGAGGATTTTTAACAATGGTTTTTACAAAATGTTTAAAATTACTATCTACTGTAATGGAAATGCTATGAATATACATGCTTTGAATGACAAAACTTATAAAACTTAGCTATTACTTAAGTTAGATATTAGTATAGATCTTAATATACATGTTAGTATGGTTCTTATTATTAAGGATAATTAAGTATGAACACTAAGAAAAACATGTTTCAGAAAAAATAAATTAGTAGCACCAAAAATTAACATAATAGCTTAATTGAGCGCTATTTTTTTAAAAATGTGACAAGTCACAAAATTAAAATTTTACAGGAGAGTAAAAAAAATTTTTCCTAAAAAAAACTTTGTTTTTATTTTAACTAAAAATTGTTTTTTTTTATCAAAAAAAAATCTTTATTTTATCTAAAAAATCTTTTTTTTATCTTATAATTTTATCTTTTACAAAAAAAAAAATTCTTTTCAAATAACCTCAATTTTAAAAAGTGTGACTCTTCACGTTTTCAAAATACAGCGTTCAATTGCAAAATAAGTAACTTCTTAACTAGAATTACTGACTTTTCCATGACTATCTAAAAAAAAAAATAATTCCCTGACTTTTCCAGGTTTTCCACCACTTTGGCCAATATTAACATATTTTCCAGATTTTCCAGGTACAGTACAGACATTGTCCAATGTTTGAATATAATTTTTTTTTTACATATTTTAGTTCTGAATTTTAATAATACAATTTAAAAAATAATATCATCTATAAAAATATTGTATTACCTTTGTCTATTAGATAATTTTAAATAAACGTTTATACAATAAATAATAATGAACCACCAGCAACTGTTAAAACTTTAAACTGATATGAATAGTCTGTTGTTTTTTTCAACAGTTGATTTCAAATGGATTTCAAAGTTGGTGACTTTGAAATCCAACAAAGAACTTTTGTTACGTTTATAAACATAAATGTTCTCAAAACGACTAAAAAACCTGGCCAGTTCTTCGCAACTAAATATAATTTCCATGGTCAGTATTCGAGAGTAATTGATCCCGCTTCCCGACCGAGCCTGTGTTGTAAGCTTTGATATGTTGATTATTACACAATAAAATGTTAATTACACTCCGACATTTTGACCGTAATATATGAAAAAGTCTTTAAAATTGTAAAAGTTAAAGCTATGAATAAAGATTTTCAATCATCCGACATAAAGAATTTTAAATAAAAACTTACTATCTAATAAATTTTCTTCATTTAACTTCTCAGAGCACACAATTAAATTCTGTAAAGAGTTTATAGTTACAGGTCAATCCCAAAGTTTAATAATATTTTTAGTTTTATTATAAGAAATTGAGGATAAATCACCTACACCAAGATATACACAATTTTTTGCCTCTTTAATCATTATTTTGGCTGGTTCTTTTCGCTATCTTCCTTTTTTGTCTCCAGAGCAGAAGTTTAGCCTTCTGCTAAATTCAATCTTGTATTGCTATAAAAATCTATAAATCAAATTATTAATAATTAAATTATAACGAAAGTTAGTGTATAAGCTTAAACTTGTTAACTGCATAACACAAACTAATTATGAAAAATATCCAGAGATATTAAATTAAAAATTATAAAACTAAGAATAATGTCCCTCTGCCTCAGAAATATGTAATATATAAAGGGTTGTCTCAATTTAAATCATGATTTAAATCAGACAAATAAAAATAATGATTTAAATTGAGTCTTTTTATTTCAATTGATTTTAATGATTATTTATTGATTTAATCTCATAATTCAATAAATTATTATAGACTAGTCATTGGTCATAAAACAAAAAGTCTGGCAATATTAGAAAACTCTACATAAGTAGAATATAAATTCTAATAACATCACTTTTTGTATACTGTTTTAATATTTTAGTAGATGGGGTTTCACAATCAAACAAAAAAGACATACTTAAAATGTAAAATATCAGCTTATAACAACATCAATGCCACATTTATTACTGATACCTTTATTAATATATCTTATAATAGCTACATAATCTAAACTATTATAAAAAAATTATGAAAAAAAAAATTTTTTCAATACATATACTGTATGACATTTCAAATGTTTGATATATTTAATAAAGAAGAATTTAAAATGTCTTCTTTATTAAATAAATCAAACATTTGAAATGCTAATACAGCAATAAATATAAAAAATAATTTTAAGATCTTACACAAAAATAATTTAATTATTACCTTTATTATTACATTAATAATTTATATTGTAGTAAAAAATGTTTCAAGTATATTATTTAACTGTTAAAAAATATTTCATTATTAAAAAAAAAAAACATTAAGTCACGAGAATCTCTTGAAATTTATTTCATATAACGAACCTTTTAAGATTCTTAGAAGATTCATAAATATAGCTTCTTTTTTTAAATATATAATTTAAAAAAATGGAAAGATAATATCAAAACCTTTTTTTATTCTGTCAAACGATACCATTTTTAAAAATGTTTTAAAAAAATTTACTAATACGCAACTACATTGGCCGAATATTGGCTACGACTTAAATGTAAAAACAAATTTTTATAGCAAAATATTAGGCCATTGGCCAAATGTTGGCCCAACGTAGTACGATAATTACAAAAAACCGATTTGTAGAATTACAATATTACGCCGAAGAAAAAAAATTTGCCTAAATAGCAAAAGCTTATCTCTATCACATGTCTTGCAAAAGCTTTTATGCTTATTTGACTAAACAGTTTCTGCAAAAAAAATAGTTGTTTGTTTAATTATGGACCAAAGAAATATAACAAATTAAAAGTAATTCTGTAATGCAAAATTGAAACTGAAAAAATATACTTTTCTAAATCACATACCAATAGCAGCATATGCAATCAACATTTTTCCTATTACAATTTTTTATCCTCTCCCTGCATAATTTAATTTTACAGCTACACCATTTTAATAAACTATTCTTAGTAAATAACATATACAATCTCCTTCATCTTTAACTTCAATTTGTGCCAAATAATTGAACTGCAAAAATACACAACCTAGAAATAATTAAAGTAACTTTTGTTTAGACTAAAATTAATATAAAATCATTTACAAAAAATCTTTAAAGAGTATTTTGTTTAAAGTATTTTAAATTGTACTAAAATATCATAAAAAATGAATAAACTGATCATAAAAAAATATTTACCATTTACTTGTCTTTTTTTTCCAGAGTACTTGAATTCTTCACTTCTTTTAACGGCAATGACTCTCGTTCAGGCAATACAATAATTAGCATACCTTTGTTACTCAAATTTTTATAACTGAATTTGATGTGTTTTGTAGTTCACCAAGTTGCACTTCAATGCTTGCCCATTATGCTAATAAAACCAGCATATCTTTCAAAGATACAACTTTATCTTGAAACAATAAAGTTAATTATATCATTATCAAACTATACAACTAATAACATATTATATTTAGATTTTACGAAAGTAAATACAACTATCACTAATAAAACAGATAAAATTAAAGAAAGAGAGGCAAATTTTTAATGATAAAAATATATACTTACTAATGGATTCATAATATTTTTATGAATTATGAAATTTCCAGGTGTGCATTTAATTTCTGGCACTGACACAAAACAATTTTCGTTTATGTTTAAGATACAAATTGCACTGTAAAACAAAAAAATTAATATTAAAACAATGTTTCTCCAACAGGGTTTCTAGCCAACTATTTATATGAAGTTGAATGACATAAAAATCAGATGAACTTCCTTGACCACTTTTAACAATGGTTTTTACAAAATGTTTAAAATTACTATCTAATGTAATGGAAATGCTAAGACTGTACATGCTTTGAATGACAAAACTTATAAAACTTAGCTATTAGTTAAGTTGGATATTAGTATAAAGCTTATTATACATTTTATAATGGATCTTATTAAAGATGACTAAGAATGAACACTAAGAAAAATAAAAGTTTCAGAATAATAAAATGGGCAGCACCAAAAAAAAACATAACAGCTTAATTGAGCGCTGTATTTTGAAAATGTGACAAGTCACAAAATCAAATTTTATAAGAGAGTGAAAAACATTTCTTTAGTAGAAAATTTTATTTTTATTTTACCTAAAAATTGTTTCTTTTATCTAATTAAAAAATCCTTTTAAAAAAAAATTAAAAAATTTAAAAAAATCTTTTAAAATTTTTTTTTATCTTATAATTTTATCTTTTCCCTATAAAAAAAATTCTTTTACAATAACCTCACTTTTAAAAAAAGTGTGACTCATCACGTATACAGCATTCAATTGTGAAACGAGTGATCACGTATACAGCATTTAATTGTGAAACGAGTAACTTCTTAACTAGAATTACAGATTTTTCCTTACTATCTAAAGAAAAAAATAATTCCCTGACTTTTCCAGGTTTTACGCGACTTTAGCCAATATTAACAAATTTTCCAGACTTTCAAGATACAGTCAAATGTTTGTAAATAGTTTTTTTTATATACTTTAGTTCTGAATTTTATTAATACAACTTTTAAAAAAAATATCATCTATAAAAATACTGTATGCAAACTAAATATGAAAAATATCCAGAGATATTAAATTAGAAAATTATAAAACCTAGAATAACGTCCCTCTGCCTCAGAAAGATGGATTATTAGAAAGCTCTACATAAGTAGAATATTACTTCTAGTAACATCGCTTTTTGTACACTGTTTTAATATGTTAGTAGATGGGATTTCACAATCAAACACAGAAAAAACCAAACAAAAGAGACATATTTAAAATGTAAAATATCAGCTTCTAACAACTTCAATGCCACATATATATTATTAATACCTTTAATAATATATCTTATAATAGCTACTAAATATATCTTATAATATCTACTAAATATATAATCTAAACTATTATAAATAAATTATAAAAAAAAATACTTATACTGAATGACATTTTTAATGTTTGATTTATTTAATAAAGAAGACATTTAAAATGTCTTCTTTATAAAATAAATCGAACATTTGAAATGTTACATTTATTTAATAAAGATTATTAAATAAATCAAACATTTGAAATGTCCATACAGCAATAAAAACAAAAATATAACTTTAAGATCTTACACAAAAATAATTTGATTATTCCCTTTATTATTACATTAATAATTTAGATTGAAGTAAAAAATTTTTCAAGCATATTATTTAAATGTTAATATATATTTTATTATAAAAAAAAAAAAATATCAAGTCACGTGAATCTCTTGAAATTTATTTCTTATAAGGAATCTTTTAAGATTCTTAGAAGATTCATAAATATACTTTATTTTTATAATTTTAAAAAATGGAAAGATAATATCAAAACCATTTTTTATTTTGTCAAACGATACCATTTTTAAAAATTTTTGCAACAAATTTAAAAATATATTCTAATCCGCAACTACATTGGCCGAATATTGGCTACGGCATAAATGTAAGAACAGCAAAATATTAGGCCTAAACTGCATTGGTCAAATGTTGGCCCAACGTCGTACGATAATTGCAAAAAATCGATTTGTAGAATTGCAATATTACGCCGGAAAAAAAGCATTGGCTAAATGTTGGCCCAATATAGTACGATATTTGTAAAAAATCGATTTGCAGAACTGAAAATAATACGCCGAAAAACAATATTGGCTAAATGTTGGCCCAACGGAATAAGCTTGCCAATGTTAAAACTTACGTTGGGCCAATGTAAGCTTGCTGTCTGGGATGTGTTGCGGTGTTGCAAATACATGGCATATGAGATCGGAAACCATAGAGATTGGAAACCATATAATGTTATTTTGATGAGATGGACAAATTTTACTTAGAGTTGGGTAAAAATAGATATATTGCAATCAAAAACTTTTATATTAAGTTCGGATAAGTGTTTTCAATGCCTTGGTCACATTCGGAAACCATATCCGTTTTGCAGTTGTTAAGTGACATAACCTTAAAAAGATATGAAAATTTGTATGAATTTTCACAATTTTGTCAATTGTTTTCTCACATTTTTCTCGCTATTAGCAACCATGCACTCCGCTCATAGTTATTAAAATATGTATTGTACTGGAATTTAACGCTTACTTAAGCAAATTAGATGAATTAAAATTAATTTTTTAACAAAAAAACAAGCATTTATAATCATTTGGTTTGAAGATAAAAAACTGACAACTTGTTGCGTTTTTTACTGCACTATTTTGTGTTAAAGTTAGTATGAATATTTCAAAATTTGATATTTCATTTATATATTTAATGGAAGAATTATGAAAAGATATTATATACTATTAACTTTGTTTTAGTAAGTACAGCGTTGAGTCCCTACAGCTAAAGAAAGCGAAATTGTTACGGTTAACTTTAATGTCAAAAAAGATAGAACTATTGGTTCGCCTGTTTTTGAATCCAGCTATCCCATACATAAATATAAATACAAAAGTTTGGTAAATCAAATTGTTTTTTTATTACACCATTTATAAAGTTATGCAAAATAAGTTGCTGATTGCATACACTTCATTTAAATTAGTTAATTAAAAAAATTTAATTTAGCTAAAAAAAATTTAATCTACAACAAGTAAATTAAAAAAAGTTAGAAAAGTCAGTTTTTCAAAAGTTGCCTTATCTGAAAATCCATCCATAAAAAGTAAAAAAACCTCAATAAAACTTTAAATTGTAGCAGGGTGATTTTGTCTCCTCTAGCAACATAAAAATTTAGCTTAACGCATTTAAACCAATAACTGCTATTTCGAAACTAGTTTCATTCTATGCTTAAATGTTTTAATTAAAAAAAAAAATTGTTATTTAGGTTTATTTCTAAAATAAGTAACGTGTATGTTAAATAACTTTATATGTATTTTTTTTACTGTTAAACAATTTTCCATATTTCAGAAAAGATTGCAAAAGTAATACTTGTACATTTAACTTTAATTTTGTTCATTTTAATGAACCTTATTTCCTGAGATATTTTATATAAAAAATGAAATTAAATATTGTCAGATATAAATTAATGCTTTTTTTAGCAGTCTACCACCCTCAAATGGTATTAAGGAATACAATAAAAGTATTTTAATATCATTAAAAAGAAAACAACATATTTTAATATTAGTTAAATTTTTAAGCAAATATATATATATATATATATATATATATATATATATATATATATATATATATATATATATATATATATATATATATATATATATATATATATATATATATATATATATATATATATATATATATATATATATCCCAGACAGCAAGCTTACATTAGCCCAATGTAAGTTTTAACATTGGCAAGTTTATTCCGTTGGGCCAACATTTAGCCAATGTTTTTTTTTTTGGCGTATTATTGCAATTCTACTAATCGGTATTTTGCAATTATTGTACTACGTTCGGCCAATATTTGGCCAATGTAGTTTAGGCCTAATATTTTGCCATAAAAATCTGTTTTTACAACTTACCGTAGCCAATATTCGGCCAATGTAGTTTCGGATTATTATATACTTTTAAATTGTTTCAAAACATTTTTTAAAAATGGTATCGTTTGACAGAATAAAATAAGGTTTTGATACTGTTATATATCTTTCCATTTAATTAGATTATAAAAATAAAAAAAAGAAGCTATATTTATTAATCTTCTAAGAATCTTTAAAGGTTTCTTATAAGAAGTAAACTTCAAGAGATTCTCGTGACTTAATGTTTTGTTTTTTTAAAGGAAATATTTGTTAACATTTAAATAATATGCTTAAAACAATTGTTACTACAATCTTAATTATTAATGTAATAATAAAGGCAATAATCACATTATTTTTTTGTAAGATCTTAAAGTATTTTTTTATTTTTATTGCTGTATTGGCATTTCAAATGTTTGTTTTATTTAATAATCTTTATTAAACTTATTTTATTAAATTTTATTATTATTATTTTATAAAATTTATTATTGTTATTTATAAATAAATGAAACATTTCAAATGTTCGATTTATTTAATAAAGGAGACATTTTAAATGTCTTCTTTATTAAATAAATCAAACATTTAAAATGTCATACAGTATAATTTTTTTCATTAATTATAATAGTTTAGATAATATAGCTATTATAAGATATATTATTAAAGCTATCAATAATAAATATGTGGCATTGAAGTTTACATTTTAAATATGTCTCTTTTGTTTGATTTTTTCTGTGTTTGATTATGAAACCCCATCTACTAACATATTAAAACAGTGTACAAAATGTGATGTTATTTGAACTTATATTCTACTTATGTAGAGCCTTCTAATATTCCATCTTTCCGAGGCAGAGGGACATTATTCTTGGTTTAATTATTTTTTTATTTAATATCTCTGGATATTTTTCATATTTAGTTTGCCTACAACAGTTAACAACTTTAAGCTTATACATTATTACTTTTATCATACATATTTTTTTTTTAGTTATAACTTAATTAATAATGATTTGATTTATAGATTTTTAAAGCAATACAAGATTGAATTTAGCATAAGGCTAAATTTCTGCTCTGGAGACAAAAAGGGATAAAAATAAAGATTGAAGAAACAAAAAATTGGGTATATCTTGGTGTAGATGATTTATCCTCATTTTCTTATAATAAAACAAAAAATATTATTAAACTTTCGGATTTACCTGTAACTCCAAA